ATGCTCAAACCTCTACCAATGTTGACCAAGCCTTACAAAACTATTTCTTTAAACTTTATTATTAGGCTTCTAAAATGGTGGTTATGATAGCAATCTTAGTAGTGGTGGATTGGTTTTCCAAGTAAACGACATTTATTCCAGTACAAAAGTTTGGCTTTACAGAAGAAACAACTTGCACGATTTTTAAACATGTGATAAAATATTGGGGTATTTCAAAGAGCATTATCAGCAACAAAGATCTAAGGTTTATCGATTTTTTCTAGAAAAAGCTATCCAAGCTATTAGGGTCAGAACTCAATGTATCTTCGAATTATCAACCACAAACAGATGGTAAGATAAAACGCTTCAATAGGTTATTGGAAGAACATTTGTGACACTTCGTACAGGTGAACTAAAAGAATTGGCTTAACCTACTAGATGTGGCTCAACTATGTTTCAACTCACAAAAGAGCTCAACCACCAATACAACCCCTTTTGAGGTAGTCATTGGACAACAACCTATACTTCCTCATACCTCAGTGGAATCGTATACCGAAAAGAGCCCACGGGCATTTAACTTTGCTAAAGAATAGAGGCAAAACACTAAAATCGCCAAAACTTATTTACAGAAAGCCTCCAACCAAATGAAAAAGTGAGAAGATAAAGGTTGAAGGGAGCAACAATTTAAAGTGGGACACTTAGTGCTAGTGAAATTGGCAGCCGAACAACTTTGATTCCTAAGGAAGAGAAATTGAAGACTAGTACAAAAGTATAAAAGTCTAATGTCGGTGGTGACCACGGTGGGGAAGACCTCCTACAAGATTGATCCACCCAAATGGATGAAGGTACACCCCGTGTTTCACGTCAACAATCTGAAACTGTTCTGTGCAGATCCAATAGATACAAGTAAGAGTCGAGCCACAAGAGCTACCATCAGCACCGAACCACCATTACAGCATTGAGTGGAGGAGATTTTGGCAAGGAGGATGATGACCATCAACCGATGACTGACACAGGAGTACCTAGTGAAATGGGAAGGTTTATGGCTAGATAAGATCACTTAGGAGAAGGAAATCGACCTTTGTGCCTTCCAGTAGAAAATTGAAGAGTTTCAAGCCAATTAGTCAACGAGGAGATCGACAAATTGAGTGGGGGATGATGTCATGAGCCAACCTTGTACCAAACAATGATAGGGTAGAGTCGTATATGAGATTGAGTCTTTTGTACCTATAAGGGAAATATCCTTCTTTCAAACAATGTAATGGCTCGTGGCGACTTCTCCAAAAATACATGTTAAGTTTTTAAGGGAAAAGACCTTTTAGGAAAAGAATATTCTCATTTCAAGCGTTGTAATGGCTACTGATAAAATACTTATAAAATCTCATAAACTCTTTATAAGGGGTGAGCAGTCGGTGGATTGTTGAGCTACCTCACTAGTAAAGGTATGTTTGTAGCAAATAGCCTAGGGCTCCCCTTATGGCCTGACAATAGCATGTCTTGATCTCTTTGTATTTAATTTCATATTAATAAAATATTTTTTCTTTTTATGACTCAGTGGCTGCATATATGGCATTCGGTATGCCTTTTGATTTTGATGTAGGTTCCTCTTAATTTGATTTATTGTTATTATTATTGTTAGGTTAGATATAACCGAGTATTAGCTAACTTGTGTAGAAGCATTTACTCAAGTGTCGCACGGACTAAGCATACTTAGGCGAAAAAGCAAAGTTCGTGACACCAGGGATTGAACTCGGGTTGCTTGCGTGACAGGTGCGAATACTCAAGCCTAGGATTACAATATCCCTCACATTTTATCTGAATCTTACCTTTTTTTCTCAACTTATTTCAATGGGTTAAATTGCTAACTTAGAGTTCTCAATTATTCATAAAGTCTCTCAACTTGTCTTATAAAATTATCTATTTTAATTAAAACACTATATCCCTATATGAATTGAAATTAAAATAAACTCATTAAGTTTGGGCTTTAATTCTGATTACATATGACTCATAGGTATATCCTTATTTTATATATAAATCAATTAATATGATCATATGCTATCTCAATTTTACTGTAAACTAAACTCGCTTTCCCAAGGTTGTTTAGGTTCTTAAATCAATTTAATTAGTGATTAGGTAATTACAAGCATTGAGAACAAATTGGAATAAATAATTCAAATCTCATTAAAGATAAGCAAAAAAGAGATTAAAAATTTGGATTATATGTGAGTTTAATTGCAATTTTAAAAAAAGAAAATTAGCTACACATAATTGTAAAGACAAATAACATTATATAAATTTTAACCATTGAGAGTAATAAGAAGAACAAAAGATAAGGAAGAAAACAAAATAATTGATTGCAACTTGTTTCTTGAGTTTTTGCCTCTTAAATCTCCAAAAGCTCTCTCCAATGTCTCATAAAAATATTTTATTTATACTAATAAACTTAACCTAAAATCTCCTAAGTTAACCTACTTATTCTAATTGGGTTTAAAAGTGTAATGAGAGGCCCAAAAAAAATCAAATATCACCTTTCAAAATTCCTCTTCTTGTAGTATTAAGGCTTGTCATTTTCCAACATAATTTTCTCTGTCTTTAATGTAGAACTGGGCAAAGTAATCTTTATAAAAGTTGTAGCTCTATTTCTTAACTTTCCAATAATCCAAGAATCACATCATTTGGAGTTTTGTAACGAGAGTTATGAGTAAAATACTAAAGTATATGCAAGTAGACTTCTAGATCTTTCAACACTTTACTTTTCAAAACTAAGCCCAATTCCTTTAATTCCTACAAAAATATAAAAATTAATAAATAATAACAAAATTAAAAAAATAAGCATAACATTAAATTACTTAATAAAAATTAAATAATTATAAAAACAACTAAAAATGACTAAATTTTAATTAAAAATTAAGGATTTAGCTAATATTTAATAACAAAATTGAATTAAAATAATTTTATCAGATAGAATTATTAGTGTGTAATTTTTATTTTCTCAAAATTTTTATAATCTTTTTATCTTTGACAAATAATAACCCTATATTATTTTGATTCTTCTTTATTTTATTTATTGGAAACTTTTCTTAAGCTTTATAAACAATTTTGGTGAATATCAAGAGAGTTCCCTACCTCAGTAACATTCAAGAAATAAGTTATTTCTCTAAAACGATTCTATTGTTAAATTTTAATATTTTATTAAAAATATTTGGATTAAATCCTCTTCACTTTTATTTCCTTCTCTACTATACATTTTACATTATTATTATTATTAAAAATTAAATAAAAGTATTTGATAATAAAATCTCTTCTAAATTCTCCAACCTTTTGTTAGAATTTAATAAAATTTTTTACCTAGGAATTTTCAAAAGAAAAATTATCACTTTCAATTTTCTTAAAATTTTATCATTAAAGAATTTCTATTTATTTGTATAATGAAATACATATGTAAACAAATGATATCACAATGTAATTTTTAATTCATTATTTATTCATTTTTAATGTTTTAAAAATTGTTTAAGAAAATCTTTCTTGTTAAAATAATTTTGAAGTTCTCAACACTTTTGGTCAAGTTCCATAGTTATTTTTATTTAGGAAAATTTGATAAACTTATTAGTTGCCACTTATTAAAAATTCCTTTTTTAAAAAAGATTTATTCTAAATAATTTTGATTTTATTATTTAATTTTACTAATTAATAAAATTATTTTTATAATTTCTATTATTTTAGATGGTATTTTCGAAATAATTTCATAAGGTTAAATATGTGCATAGAAAATAAAGAAAATGAAATAAATTAGAATTAAAGTTAGTTTACATGTCACAGATTTTATAACAGTAAAGGATGAGAAAAGTTTTAAGTATATAAATATGAACATTTTATTACTTATCAAACATGTTTTTTTAAATTGAAAATGGGAGTTCGTAACAAGTAGTATCAGAGTAAACTTAAATCTTCACTAATATGAGACTCGCATGAAAGTGAGTGTGAAGTATATAAAAACAATTTTCTACAGTCAATCATGTATTTCTTTTAAGTTAAAAACGTGAACCCATGACAAACACATACCTCAATAAAACTGATTTGTTTTTCTCCTCTATTGCTCTCCAAAACGATGTCATTTTTGGCATCTAATACTTCCTCAAAATGGCACCGTTTTGTGCCTGATAAAAAGGAAAAAGCCAACCTTTTTTCACATTATTTTCTTCTCCTTTCTCTTAATTTTTTCCTTAAAAATACCGTACCATGATCATTTCCTTAGTTATGTTGTCCATGTTAACCAAAGGACTAGTAATGGTACTCATTTGATTTGTCTCCTGTTTATTTTTTGTTTAATTTTTATTTTTTTTAATTTCAAAAGTAATAACTTTTAGGAAAAATTTTTATTTTTGAAATTTTCATTTTATGGGTTTTTTTTTCAGGAAATACAATTTTTTGAGTAAAAACACATTTTTTATTTTTAGTTTTTCCTTTTTTTTTCAAGTTTCCAGTTTTTAAATTTTATTTTCAAAAATCAAAATATTTAGAAAACAATTTGCTTTATTTTTTTTCCATTTTGCAAATAATTTTAATCTAATAAACAATTTTAAAAATAAAAAGTAAAATGACATGACAATTTTAGACACAATTCCATCTAAGAATATGTAAAACACATTTAGCCCAATTATAGAACAAATCAACAACTCAGGAAAATCCAACATGCTCACTGAACACCTTAAGACCAATTACAAAACAAACATATTATAGAGGCAGATGTGCCCCTATCAATCTCCATTGTGGTTGCAGCACCAAATATCAGAGTCAGTGAGACAATAGAAATGGCTAAAAACATTCAATGTATTTGTGTGCCTATGTGGTTTTCAAAATTTTACCAAAGATTACTTCAAATGCCATGAAAATATATCTGAATCTAACTCTAGCTATCAAGCATCTTAGAATCCTACAACGACCACTAACACCAAAGTAAAGGTTTCAAAACCATACTCGGAACCATGAAGCACTGGAAAGGTCAGAAAAGCATAAGCATGAACCTGAAAACAAACATGATTGGAAAAATCGAGACCAGCTATTACAAAGGCCTTCTGTACTTTCATGGAGAATTTATTGTTTCAAGGGTATTGCCAGTCTAAGTAGATGAGCTGATATTACATTTTCCATATAGGCCCATAAGAAAATTATATAAAGCAAACCAACAAAGAGAAACAATATAGAAATATCTTAGAATCGTGATTTGATGCAGACCTTTGATACACTGTGAGCTTGTTGGGATGAGGATAATGCTATTGAATGCATAACCAATAGCATCTACTGCATGCACATGGTAAACATTTAATCGGAGCACTGCCCAAGTCTCTCCTCAACTTGCGGTTCCATTCAACCCTCCAACCTTTCCCTTTTCATCTGCTCATCCTCTATGTTTTCTCAGAGGCTTTGCACCACTTCAAACTCTCTTTCCACATTAGAAGTAGAAACCTTAATCTTACCCTTCCATCCACTCTCCTTGCCACGAACATAAGCTGACCTAATGCCAAATATCCTATCCAGTCATAGAATGTTCGTGTTCCACACATTCCATAAGCTGACCCTGCATCTCTAGTCATAGAAAGTTCATATTCTACACATTACATAAGCTGATCCAGCATAAATTATGAACCTTTTTAATTTATAGTTATTAAACAGAGATATTTATTTTTGAGATCAACAAAATGGCAACAAGTAAACGATCATAAATTCATTTGCTAAGACTTTTCATCAGGCCAAAAATGTCACCTTCTGATGATTTCCTTGTATGCTCACCATAACCAGATAAAGCAGCATCAGGAAGTTCTTGGGTGATTGGATCCCTCTGCCATAAAGAATAGAGAAATTATGAGAAGCAATATTGGTGGTTACCAACAAAACAATAGCAATACGTGCCAACAACACCACCTACTCAATATGTTTCTGCTTACAATCAAGTAAACAAAACTCATGCTTTCTCCTTTAATCAGTATTTTATATTCCACAGAGTTTGAGATTCAGAGCTCACTTTATGTACAACAAAATAAACACTCAAAAATTGAAATACACTCAACCAATCAATACTTGGAAGAAACAGGTTAGACATCACAACCAATGACTTAATAAATACATTCCAGAGTTATGATCTTTTTCCACAAAAGAAACGAGACCCACAGTATACTTGACCACTTGAGATGCTTTATTCACTGTATTTGTAATACTTCTTATCTGTATTAATGAACCATATTGAGTTAATTGAAATTTATTTGGACCAAAAAAAAATCAACTAGAGATTTTACTCTTTTTTTTTCAGAAAATGCAAAAGTAACAGCAAAATTTTTAAAAAAAACCTGAACCTAAAATTCTTCTAAAGCAAATACACACATTATAGATTAACATTCATTTCTATGCATATATAGGAGCGTCTGCCAACTGTTCTGTATCTGTTCTATACGTTCTGTAGTGCCTTGAAAGCCTACCTCTCCATTGTCTATAGTCTATACTCTTGCATTTCTCTAGTGCAAAAATTTGCATCATCAACAAATTAAGTTCTGACTTGTCATGATAGATCCCCAATGGCTGTATGAGTTATTACCTACCTTGAGTGATGAATTATCTTTACACTCCTACACCTTATGCTCTTTCTTTTTCGGAGCCATTTTCACTAAACTTTCAAGAAGTTCAGTGCCAACTACCTAGTGTCTCTGCATAACCTGTGTCAAGATAGATACAATTTCAGTGCTATCCCAGTTAATTCCTACATTAGGATACAACTTAACACAATAACTATAAAATTAACAGCAGGATTAGCCATCTTACTAGAAATGCATGTATGCTGACATAGGAAGCCCAGGCCACTTGGGGTGAAGTCTATTAATCACTATCATCAAAGGTTGTCCTTGCAATTTATTACCTTTCAGGGATTGTCTTTGCAATGTCCTTCACGCTAGTCACTTCCTTCTACAGCCTCAGATATTTGCTAATAAAAAAATTTCGAAACACCCAAAATTGAGAACATAAGAATTAAATAGAGCTTTTGTTCTCCAATAAATTAATACTCCTTCTATCCCTAAATGTTTGCCCCTCTTTGACTTTCATAGAGTTAAGACAAAAGCTTTGACTTTGATGTACTTAGTATTAAAATTTGGAAATTTTTTTATAATATGGATGTTCAATGCTTTTTAATATGAAAAAGTAAAAATAATAATGAAAAATAAATTTCTAATATAGAAAAAGTAAGAGTATTTGGTGTCTAAAAAAGGAAAAAGGACCTCACTTTGGAACATCCCAAAAGAAAAGATGGACAAAGAAAAGGGAACGGTAGGAGTATAATCACATCTAACAATAATCAATAAACTGTAACAGTTTTTTTTAATAATAATAATAAAAAAAAAACTATGCTTGTGCAATACCTTTAACATTTAAACAGAGAACAAATTAAGAAAGAAGAAAGAAAGTGAAATAGATTTGCAAAGAAATGGGAAGAGCTTAATCTTTGAGCTATTCACCAAAACTATGGATGGCAAATTACACTGTACCCGACAGATTCCACCCTATCAAGACTCTACAAGGGTAGCATTCTTGCTCGAAAATTGGGGATCAGGGTGGGGCAGGGAAGGGCAGGTTTGACATAAAACAAATCACAGTTGGGTTGGGGTTGGTTTAGAGTGCTGCACCCCACCCTAGGGTATGTATCAAAATGAAATATTTTATTCTTCAATTAGTTTTAAAATATAATATATTTAATACTATTTAGAGAGATTAACTTTACAATATAATATATTTAGAAGTAATTTACATTAAAAACAATAAAATACAAGATAATTAAACTAAAATAAAATCATAAAAATGAACTTTAGGTCAGGGCAGGTCAGATGCACGTTATAAATATTTTTCTTAAGTTGGGGTCAGGTATTAAAGTTGACAACTCAATGTCAAGGTAGGGCAGGGCAGGTTCATGTTAAGAAACATAGGGTTCGGGGTGGGCAAAACGCTCCCCACTCTGCCCCATCGCCATCCCTAATTGGTTCAAAACTCTTGGTTTTGACAGTGACTAGAAATCATTATCCTTGACATTACATAACAGCTAGAAGTCATAACTTACTGTAAAATTCCCCCACTTCTGGGGCTTCATTCCTCTTGCAACCATTTCATTATATATGAGACCAGCCCCTGTTTTGTTACCCTTTTCGAAGTGACAAGTGATTAAAGCTTCACATATGTCCTCACTCAAGACCACAGAACGATCTTTCATTATTCTTAAATACCTTTCTGCTTCCTCTAGTTTTCCACAGTGACACAGACTTCTGATCAAGGCCGTAAAAACTGGTAATCCAGGAGACAATGATTTGTACTCCATTTCATAGTAGAGTTTGAAAACCTGTTGAATGTTCCCCTCTTTTCCATAACCAGCAATAAGATGAGAATATGTGATCTCATTAGGTAAGAACCCTTTATCTAAAACAAGAGTTAAGAGCGCATTAGCATTCTCTGAATCCCCAATTTTGCAAAGCCCTCTCACCATCTCATTAAAAGTGGAACAACTAGGAACAAGTCCCCTCCTAATCATTTCCTCACAGTGTCTCACACTTGCCTTCATTTCTCCTGCTTTAGCACAACCCTCAATTAGATAATTAAAAGTTTCATCATACGGCTTCAAACCCATATTTTCCATCTCTTGCAACATGTTTTCTGCTTCATGAATTCTTCCTCTTTCAGAATACGCTCTTATAAACGATGAAAACAAAAAAGAGTTGGCAATAAATCCTCTCTTAAGCATTTCTTCATGCACCTCCCATGCCAATTCCAAATTCCCAAGCTTCAATTTAGTATAGACAACAAAAGAGTAAGCAATGGTATCAAGAATTAAATTTTTTTGCAACATTCTCTTCAATAATTCGATACCATCTTCAATTCTACCCTGTTCTATAACCTTAAACACCAAATGTGCATTAACAACAACTATTGGTGAGCATCTCTTGCCAACAATCTTGTCCAGCAAATCCATAACAACTTGCAACTTCCCTTCCTTACACAAAGCACTAATCATTGTTCTTATTGTAATTTCATTGGGGTATTTTCTTTTATCAATCATGTGCTCATAAACCTTCCAAACCATCACATTTTCACCAGATTTCAGTATCCCATGAAGCAAAGCATTAAAACTTAACAAGGTCAAAGAAAATCCATGATTCTCTAAGTAACAACAAACCTCAAAAGCATCCTCCAACATTCTCAACTTTGCATAGGCCTGAACCAGTAAATCGAACACCAAAGGACTGGAACCAACAACATTGTAACTGCCCAGTAAAGATTCCAATATGCAGGATCTTGTTGAATCGGGTTCACTTGTTTTTAAAGCTGAGTGGAGCAATATTTTAGCTTCAGGGAGTTGTTTTGCATGGACTAGAATATGAATCGCAATGCAGTAAGAATAGATTTGGTGTCGAAAGTTTTGGGACTTTGCTGACCAATAAAAGAAATTTAGAGCAGATCTTGCATGCTCGGGCTGCTTCAGTTGGAGGAGTACTTGTTGAACAAGAGAATGGGTTAATTGGACAGAAGAGAAGGTCTTGGTGAGAGTATCCCAGTTATGGGTTTTCTTGAATGAATCAGAGATGGAATTGACAATTGAATCATTATTGTTTAATTGCGAGAGAGAGCGAGAGTGGATGGTGGTGGATTTGGGTAGTGCAAAGCAGGGATTGTAGTTGACAGATGTGGAAACCAATAAGGACCCAAGTTTTCTATTCAGCAAAGCCATTGCTCTGCTACTGTTGTGGATATGGAATCACGTAAGCTGCTCCAGACCTCTCAAACATGAATTTTCCTTTTGAGTTGAACAACAAATTGAAATTCCTCAGCCCCTACAGCCCCAAGCCTAAAATAATGCATACTCAAATCACAAATGATTGAATCACATCATATCCAGAAAACGAATAGAGCAATAAAAAAGGAGCGGGGAAAGAGAGGAACCTGTGATGGTGGCCGTTCTTGAGCTCAATCGACACCGTTTCATTGTTCAACTTCATCAAAAACCTGCTCATTATTTTTCAAATCAAAACCATTACAAAGGAAATGCAAAAGATTATTCCCACATCACCTGTCAAACACAAAGAGGTTAAGAGGAAAGAGAGAAATCAAAACTGACTCGTCGAGCTTCATGTTGAGAAGGGCTTGAAGCAAGCAAAGGCGAGAGAGCCAGTCGGGAGGAGAGGGACCCGTTTGCTGCCAGTGACAGGTTATCGTGGAGGGATCGGCCGCTTCTAAAATGGCCTTTTTTGAGTTTACAAGTTTATGAAAACGACGACGTAGCTGGACTAGTCGTACACTTGGACCAATCCCAACACTCCTCCAACTAATTTATAGTCAAAAAGCCAATATTAATCCGGTGAAGTTTCTTTATATATATATATATATATATAAACTGTGGAATAAATAGAAAATTGTATCATTCTAGGCCAAGATATTCTTAAATTATCAGTTAAAAAATAAGTAAAAGTTTCTCTCGGTAGAGATTCAATAATATGTATCTCCAAATATAGATCTTCAAGATGAGTGGTTATTTAGTCTGCACTTTAATTGGCTTCACGATAAATGTGAATGAGAGTACATTTTCAATCTTGATTCAACAACTCCTTAATATGTCGTAGTAAACAAGCATTCGGATCTAATATTGAATTGCTTTGCTCAATCTTCTACAAGGCTAAAAGAGAATCAGATTCAACATAATGTTTTAAAAGTTCTTTTTTTTCTCAAATAAAATCTTGTGTTTTATTACTATTTTTACAAGGATAACACTATTAAATTTTCATTAAAAATACAATAAGAGCCTTACGTTTAAAAATCTTATTTCTTTTATTTAATCTTAAACCTTATTCACTCATTTTTTTTAAGAATATACAATTTTATTGCTAGATGCCAAAGTCAAATCCGACTTTGGAGTTTATGGTTGCAAAAAATAAAATCTACATATATTAAAAGTTGTCTCCTAGAGAGGACAATTGAGCTCAATTGGAGTGCCACGTCAACAATTTAATTGGTTAACATGCGACACTCTAGTTGAGTGAAGCTTTCTTTGATGGGTATAGCATTTTAGTTATTTTTCCCTTTCTTTGATTTTTTTTCCTACAGGTTCTATTGTTCAACTTCTGTTTCGTTGTCATTTTCCAGGTTTGATTTTTCTTTTATTTATTCTTATGTAGTTTTTGTTTATGTATGCTTTTGTTTTTAAGTTTTTCTAGGGTTTTTGTGTTTTTGGGAAGCTATGGCATTATCATCTTTTCCTAATGCATGTGTCCGCGCCACAGTCCAAACCCACCAGGAGGCCCAAGAAGTGACACAGTCCGGACCCGCCAGGAGGCCCAAGAGGGTGCCAGCCCACTAGACCCATGTAGGGGGGGCTGCTGGAAAATTCAAATTTTCCCTCCCAACCGAACTTCTAGAACCTCCCAAATGTTTTGGAGGGAAATCTTTTGGGGGAATACTTTGATTGAAAACTTTGGAGGGAAATCTTTTGGGGGGAATACTTTGAATTAAAAACTTTGGAGGGAAAAGTGGGTGGGGAACCTTGACTATAAATAGCCCCATCCACCATTGTGTAAATCATCCATTCTTGCATCCTTTGTATTTCAATTCATTCAATATAAAGAGTTTATTTTTTTCTCAGCATTCTCTTCCCATTTTTCCTTCCTTGTTTATGCAAGCTTGCTTGCCGCTTAAAGCCATTGTGCGGGTGTTGAGCGCTTGTCGGGTGAGTATAGGCTGGACTTGGGTTCTATCTGCCGAGCTAAGGGCTGATCCAAGGCCGCACGAAGGTGGTCTTAAGAATCGCCCCGTGACAGTTGGTATCAGAGCGGTTGCACTCCAGGTGTTCGACAGAATTCCCAGAGTGTTGCGATCCAGGTGTTCGACAAAATTCCCAATCCAAGAGGAAAGTGTCTGCGACCCAGGTGCTCGACGAAATTCCCCAAAGCAAGTAGGAGGTGATTGAAAGGAAGGAATGGCTACCAGTGGATCAAGCATGCCGGAGGAAACTCTCGAGGTTAGAGAGACGCGTGCTGGTCGGAAGGCAAAATCTACCTCACGAGACCCGATCCCTGGGCTGGATGCCAGGCTATCAAGGGTGGAGGTGACTGTGGGCGAGACCCGTGACCGCCTCGATGTGCAGGAGGAGCACATGGAAGAGCTTCTGCTCAGGACGAGGAACTCAAAGGAGAAGTCCATTGATGATGAGGGAGACTTTGAGACGGCCATGGAACGAAACGCCTAACTGGCGAGAGAAATGGAAGCCTTGAGGCGGGAGCTGGATGAATTGAAGGAGGAAGTGCGGACAGCAAGGGCCAATAGTGGCCGAGAGGCTGCCGCACACACAGAAGTAAGGCTAGATGTGCCTAAACCGAGAGAATTCCGAGGCCGGAGGGATGCCAAGGAAATAGACAACTTTCTCTAGGGGCTTGAGCAATACTTCAAAGCCACTGGGATCGTGATGGATGACCGTCGAATCATTGCGGCATCCATGTATCTGGGAGATACAGCACTGCTTTGGTGGAGGAGGCGGTGCGATGATAGGCTCGGTGGAGCACCGGTTCTCACGTGGGCAGATTTCCAGCGGGAGTTACGCCAGCAATTCTACCCCGAATACGCCATGGACGAGGCGAGGGGCAAGCTGCGTAGGCTGGTCCAACGTGGGGAGATCCGGGACTATGTGAAGGAGTTCAGCGAGCTGGCCCTTCAAGTGGGTATCTAGGGAGAAGGGAGGCCCCTTTCACCTTCATGGATGGTTTGAAACCATGGGCCAAGCAAGAGTTGCAGAGGCGAGGCGTGCAAGACCTCACTCGAGCCATGGCAGTGGCTGAAAGCTTGGTAGATTACTCTCGAGCCGACAAGGACAAACCTACGCCATCCAAGCCAAAGGATAAAGGTAAGGGATGGGCGGATAAAAATAGGCAGCACAAAGATAAGGGCTGGGCGGACAGAGATAACCAGCCTAAGGATGGTGGCGAGGGCAAGCCACAATCGAAATGGAAAGGTATTCTACCTCAAAATGGAGATTTTTCAGAAACAAGGAGGACCAACCGACGGGTTGCTTCTTGTGTGACGGACCACATCGGGTTCGAGATTGCCCAAAGCGCACACAAGCTAGTGGCGATAGCCTCGGAGGAGGAGCCACAATCAGACCAGGCAGCGCGATTGGGCTCAGTGCTGCTGGGCAGTAAGCAAGACAAGTAGTCGAGCCAAGGGGCTCATGTATGCTGATATGATCATAGCAGGACAATCGGTGGAGGCACTGGTGGATACGGGTGCTTTTGAACTCTTCATATCCGAACAATGTGCTGCAACCTAGGCATCAAATCTAATAGCGCAGGCGGCTGGGTAAAAACTGTGAACTCCAAGAGAGTGCGCACGAGGGCATTGCCAAGGGGATCGATGTGCAACTTGGCCAGTGGCATGGAGCTGTGGACATCGAGATCATCCTGATGGATGATTATGATGTAGCCGTGGGATCGGCTTCCTAGACAGAGTCCAAGCTGTTCTCGTGGCGCACAACGATTGCATTTGCATCTTGGATCAAAGGGGGCAATGCGTAGTGCCAGTCAGAAGCAGGACGTACTCAGCCAACAAAACAATTGTCTGCCATGCAGCTAGCCAAGGGCATGCGCAAGAGTGAGCAGACATTTGCTGTGGTGCTGAGTCTAGAAGACACCCCGGCAATATAATCAAGGCACCGTAGAAGTCCTAGAATGTTGGAGGAATTCCAAGATGTAATGCCTCCTAAGCTGCCAGGCCACTTGCCTCCCGCACGAGAAGTGGACCATCATATCGAGCTAGTGCCAGGGGCACAGCCGCCCGCCAAGGCACCATATCGGATGGCGCCTCCCGAGCTAGCAGAACTGAGAAAGCAGCTTGGGGAGCTTATTGACGCTGGATTTATCAGGCCATCCAAATCCCCTTTCGGAGCTCCCGTATTGTTTCAGAAGAACAATGATGGGCTTTAAGGCTATGCATCGACTACCGAGCTTTGAACAAGCTCACGGTCAAGAACAAGTACCCGATCTGCTTATAGCTGACTTGTTCGATCAGCTGGGCAATGCGCACTGGTTTTCAAAGTTGGACTTACGATCGGGGTACTACAAGTGAGGATAGCTGCGGGGACATATCCAAGACGGCTTGACTCGCTATGGGGCATACGAGTTCTTGGTTATGCCATTTGGATTAACCAATGCACCAGCAACATTCTATACTCTGATGAACAAGGTATTACAACCCTTTCTGACAAATTCGTAGTTGTATACCTTGATGATATTGTTGTCTATAGCCACTCATTACAAGACCATGTTGAACACCTACGGCTTGTTTTTGAGGCCCTTAGACAGCATGAGCTATTCGTGAAAAGGGAAAAATGTTGCTTTGGTTTGCATGAGGTGCCATTCTTAGGGCACATTGTGGGGGATGGCAGAATCCGGATGGACCCGTCCAAAGTAAGTGCTATCCAGGAATGGGAACCGCCTGCCAAAGTAAGGGAGCTGAGATCCTTCCTTGGGTTAGCCAACTACTACCGCCGGTTTGTCAAAGGATACTCAAGCATTGCGGCACCACTAACGGACATGCTGAAGAAAGGCCGGGTGTGGGAATGGAATGCCGCAAGCCAACATGCCTTTGATCGGCTGAAACAGGCAATGAGTGAACAACCGGTGCTGAGATTGCCGGATCATATACTGCCGTACGAGGTACATACGGATGCAAGTGACTTTGCCATTGGGGGGTACTAATGCAAGATGGGCATCCAATCGCGTATGAAAGCCGAAAACTGAACGATACCGAGAGACGGTACACGGTTCAGGAAAAGGAGATGATGGCAGTGGTGCATTGCTTGCGATTATGGCGGCACTACTTATTGGGGCCAAATTGTAGTGCGGACTGATAATGTGGCCACATCCTACTTTCAAAGCCAAAAAAGTTAAGCCCGAAACAAGCCAGATGGCAAGACTTTTTGGCAGAGTTCGATTATGAGCTGGAGTATGAGCCAGGCAAGGCTAACTCCGTGGCTGACGCCTTAAGCAGAAAGGCTACACTGGCTGCCATCAGTGAAGTGCGCACAGAGCTGCTACCTCTCATTCGGGATGGCATGGCAAGCGACCCGACCGCGCAATCCATACTGGAGCATGCCACGGTAGGCAAGACCAGGCGGTTTTGGGTAAAAGAGGGGCTAGTATACACCAAGGGCAATAGGCTCTATGTTCCGCAGCATGGGGGCTTGCGGAAACAGCTATTGAAGAAATG